GGCATCAATTGGGAATGGGGCAACTAGGTGGTGCAGTGGATGGAGTTCTATGCCTAGAGTCAAGAACTCTTCCTAAGTTCAAATCTGGCCTCAGACACTGTGTGTCTGAGCTGTGTGACTCTGTTTGCCTCAGTTTACTAATCTGCAAAATTAGCTGGAGAAGAAAATGGCGAACCACTCCAGTATCTTGCCAAGGAAACCCCCAAATGGGGCCACAAAGAATTGGATATAACTGAAATGACTGAACAACAACAACAAAATAAACTGTGGTCATAAGAATGAATTGGGATATTACTGTGCCACAGTAAATGACAAATACGAAGCACAGGAAGACTTATATGCATTGATGCAGTATGAAAAAAGCAGAACCAGGAAAACAAACTATTTGACTACAACAATGTAAACCCAAAACTGATTGCTATACAATTATAATGACCAATCCTGGCCCCAAGAAGAACTAAGAAAATATACCTTCCTTCCTTCCTTCCTTCCTTCCTTCCTTCTTTGCAGAAGTGGGGGACTATGGATATGGAATACTTCAGTTGCTGTCAGATAAGGTTAAGGTGTTTATTTTGCTGAACTACCTCTCTCCCCACCTGTTTTTTTTCTTTATTACAAGAGATGACTCATTGGGTAAGTGGAAGAGAGGATATACTCATAAAACAAAGTGATTTAAATGTATCATTAAAAATAAGATTCAAAAAAAAACTTACCTTATCTATTAAATACCCTAAGCATTGTAGTGGAAAGAATGCTATGCTGGGAAGTGGGAGAGCAGGGCTTAACATACCACAACCTTAACATACCACATACCACAGCTCTATAGAATTGAGACAGATGGGACCACCGAGGCCATCTTGTCCAACCTCCACCTTTTCGATAATCACAAACGTAGTATGTATCAGAAGCAGGAAAGAGTCAATTGTCTTTCTGACCATACAGTACTAGGCTTCAGGGTCCTCATCCATGGTGGTTGGGCTGGACAATCTCTAAGGTACCTTTTTGATCTGAGGGTGTGCGAAATTCTAGATATGAAAGTGACTTGACTGACTTGGGGGACAAAGAAGTGGGGTTACAGGCGGGGTTGGGTGAAGCCAGATAGCAACCAGTTCTGAAGAGCCAGACTTTTAAATTTTCAGTGTGAACGTTTATGTCTTAGAAATGAAAAACTACAAATCAGGGTTTGGATTCATTGTTTTGTTGAGATAGTCTATAGATTGAAGAAAGTGATAGAGGAAATGTTAACATTGTAAATTAAAAATGTATCATGCATACTTTTTTCTTGGAAAGCTGGTTGTTAAACATATACCAGCACAACCCTGGACAGAGTTAGCTTTTTGCTGCAACCTTCTATAAACCATTGGTCGTGGAGCCCTTTGGTAGCCTGGTGAAGGGAATGGACACCTCAGAATAATTTTTTAAAGACATAAAATAAAATACATAGATTACAAAATTGTATAGAAACACAATTATCAAAACATTAATTAGAAAAGTCTATAACCTATATCAAATCTCTTGCCTTCTCAATAAGGTGGGAGGGAAGGGGGAACTCAAAATTTAAAAAAAAAAAAATATTAAAAAAAGTCCATAGACTCAGGATTAAAAACCCTTGTTATAAACTGTGACATATTTAATAAGCACATAGTTAATATCTGGAGAATGTGTACATATTAACTGGGGAGCACGACACAGTGGAAAGAGCACCAGATTTGGAACCAAAGGAGCTCCATCATTGCATGCTTGTATGACCCTGAGCAAGTCCCTTAACCACTTGAGGCCCATTTTTCATCAACTAAAAAATAAAAACGTTGAACTATATGATCTTAAAGGTCCCTTCTGGCTCTAAATTCAGGACCCTAAGACCTTATGTAAGCTCCCTCCCCACTTGAAACCTACATTCCTCTGATTCCAACTGTAAAAGCCCAGGAGGCATCCCCCTCATTTAGGTCAAAAGTACAATAAAAAAGTCATACGATGCCCGAGGCAAGCTGGAGCTGATCTGGCAAGCAGACAAGTTCTAGGCCTGGGGAAGAGCCAGAAAGCTGAGTCTTTGGAAAGAGTTCCAGGCAGCTCAGTCCATTTGCAGCACTTTCCCACTATACTTGGAGAGGCTCTCTTACTCTCTCCTGTCTTCATCCCCCAACTTTGGAAGCCTAGATTTTCTGAGACTAGTGAAGGCAGTAGGTAGAACAAAACTGGAAACTGGGATCCTAGGGAACACAGCTTTTCATCCTTTCATTTTTGTCTTTGTTTTTAATCCTTATGCCTTCTCTGTCCCTCTCTTCATCTTTCTGAATTCCCCTTTCAGGTTTCTTGTTCTATTCTTGCATCCCTTCTGCTTGTCTACAGATGCTACTTCACCTTAAAATCTACATTCTGCTTCTCTCATTACTCAACAATGGAAATTAAGATTAGAAGAAAAAAAAAGCAAAGACACAGAATTATTTTACGCCTATCCCATTTTGTCTCCTAGACCATAAATTCCTTATGGTGTCTATGTCTTTGGATTTAATCACATAAGCATTATGAGCACTTAGTGTGCTGTATTCTGCTTAGTTTCTTTTTTCCCCCTGGCCTTCGCTTTCATGAAATTGGCTTCTCTGACTGAGTAATCGATTGACCCACAGCATGGTCTTTTGGGTCAAGATTTGGATGATTTAAAATGTATATATATATATAATATACATATATATGTATACACACATACATATCTATATGCTTGATAGGGAAACTCAAATTAAGTATTCAAGTATATAACTGTAATTTATTATTAGCTCAAATCACTGTCATTCAACAAACATTTGTTAACTACTTATTTCACAACAGGCACTATGCTAGTTATTGGGGGCAGCAAGACAAAAATGTCTACAGTCTTAGTCCTGAAGGACTACTGTTATATGGGATTCAATAACCTACTAAATTTAAATGGTCCCTCACGTAAGAATAATAATAGGATAGGGTCTTCAAAAGTAAGAATGGTGCTTTCTGTTGAGGTTGTCTGTCATGTGATACATAAGGTGTTACCCTATTTATTTTTCACAAAACATTACTTGTAGCTATAGGAACAAAATTCAGGGCCTGTTTATATTATATATGCCCAGTTCAAAAGACACATGCTAGAGGTGGACCATTGCTTACTTTTTTAGTTGTTGCTATTAGTTGATATCCATTTAATACCTTTAATACCTTTCTTTGAAATATCATTAACTTCTATTTCTAGCCTGTTTGACTAAATTTAATTTCTGTATTATTCTCTTGCATGCATATGTTCTGATGTACCTAACATTGTCAGCACTTTGTAGGTTCATTGCTTAAAACAGCATTTGAACCAACTAACTGCATTTTAAGATCCATATGGATTTGAAAAATCACCTTCTAGTAAAAAATGTGTCAACTGAATTGCAGGGTTAAAAAAAAAACAAAAAACCAGTGTTCTGATAGTGGAGTTAGTTCCCTCTACAGAACAGTGTCAAAGAAAAATAAAGGGAAGGGGCATGTCAGCAAGTGATGATTTTAATTACCAGCTTTCTCCGACATTATCCCTTTGCTTAGCACTTTCACTATTTATAAAAAGGACAGGTTCATATGGCACTGCACAGCCCTCTAGGGCACCCAGCAATGAGAGGAAGAGAAGAGTGGGAGGAAGAAGCTGAAGTGTACACACTGCAGCTGTACTAAATGAGATTTGAAGAAGGAAGGAAAGAGAGAGAGGAGGAAGTGGGATGGGCAGGAAATCTGAAATCTATGAAATCCTGAGGGAGGCTGGAGAATGCTCCCAAGAATGGAAGAAATCTTCTTTCCCTAGGTATCTAAATTTTGACCCAAAGAAATGAGTACTTTTCTAGCAATATGCATTCATGAATATTACCAGAATTCACTGATTCTCTGTGTAAACACTAACAAAATGGAGCAGATTCATACAAGACTTGAAAGGCTTGCTAGTGGGCTGTTCCCCTCTTCCCAACCTTTCCTGTATAACCTTTCCTAACTACATTCTTGGGTATGTGTGAGACAAAACCTATGATTTCAAAGGTATAAGGAATTCCCTTTTCCAATGCAGGTTGGCACCTGTTCTATAACTTGAGATAGTCTTAGAGACTTGCCGGGATTGGAGGGTGAAGGATATTGAGAGGTTAAGTGACCTGCCTAGAGTCACAAGGTTAATATATGTTCTGGGTAGGAGTTGAACCCAGGTCTTTCTGATTCTGAGGCCAGCTCTTGATCCACTAAACCACACTACTTTTCAACTATATCTTTATAACTATTAAAATACTAGCATTAATATAGACCAAAGGACTAAAGAACACTGTAGTGTATACTATTTCTCTGTAAGACTTAATTTTTTCTACTCTCTTCTCTTAAAAAGGACAGAAATTCCCATAATCTCTCTTTCAAAAAATATTGTGACTTCTGAAAACTCCAAAAATCTTAAATAAACTCCACCATTATTAAATAAGATAGAAGTTCCATGATGTAATTCTTAAAACAAAAGCTTTACACTTACACAACGCTGTATCACTAACGATATATTTAAAGCTTAGTCCAAACTTCAACAAGTCGGAAAGAAAGAATGTAATGTGAATACTGACACATCATATTCAAAGCTTTAATAACAATCAGCCAACCAATAAAAATATATTGGTGCTTATTATGTGTCAAGCACTGTACTAATCATATCAGAGGCTAATTCCTTTTCTTTGACAGTAAGTGTGGATTTCCCCAGGTCACAGGGGCTATTCAAGGTTCAAGGGTAGATTTCCTAAAGGGAAGTAGGCCAGAAAAGGGTATTTTGGGCCTCTGCACTACTTCTCAATCTCTTGCCATCTTTTGTGATCACTTTTGACCTCAGACATGAACGGTAGCTACTAGAGATTTCAGAAAGCAGTCAAGGACAAGAGGTATTTACTTAGGTGAGTAAATTTTTACCGCTAAAGTTCTAACTTCACCTACTTTCCCTTCAATCTCTTTTTGCCTTTAATCTCACCAGCTTAGTACATTACCATGGACAGTGTATTCAAAAGAATCGGCTTCATCGGGGGTGTCCAGGTCATCCACATTGATGTCAATTTCATCTGGGCTATCTAGGTTATCATCAGAGAGAACAGATCCTTCACTCTGGTCCAGAGAAAGGTTGATATTTGGGGCTGTGAGTTTTATCCTCCGGGGGTGAGAGCCATCAAGATCCAGAGAATTAGGTGGTTCTACAAAGACAGCAGGAATAGCAATATTAACATAGGCCAGTTTTATCACGTTGTTAACTTTCTTTTAGGATGTAAACTCCTATGGAGCAGCTTTTTTCAAATTTTTTTAACTTTCAAAGTTTTTTAAAGTGTTTTGTTTTAACATTACAAACATTTACAAATTATTCCCACTTTGAGAAAGGTTTCTTATAAAAAAAAGTAAAGTTAATAATACCGTGATTTCAAATGAAAGTGCATGCAACATTTCACATCTGTACCACTCCCTCATCTCTCTATTTTTTTAACTTAACAGAAATCTATTTTTTCTCCTTCTCACTCCTACCCTATTGAAAAAAAAGAAAAAACAAATTTCTTGTAACAAATGTACATAGTCAAGTGAAAAAAATTTTATCAATGGCTGTGAAATTAAATTGTCTATGATAACACAGCTAGTAAACGCTAGATGTGGGACCCGAACCCAGGCTTTCCTTACTCTTAGTCAGCATTCTATCTGCTATAGATAAGTTAAAATGGCTATTCTTTATTTAATATTATCTTAGTCACAGTCAAAGATACAGCAAAGAAAATTACTGACCCATCAGGCTTAGCTGGCATCACTAGTCATTACTAATACTCCTGCAGTGGTTTAGAATACTGAACTTGGGAGTTAGGAAGGCATGAATTCAAATCCTTCCCCAGAAAGTTACTAGCTATGGGACTCCAGGGAAATCTCTCTCATCTCCAGTTTCCTCATGTGTAAAATGAAAGGGATGGGACTCAATGGCCTATAAATTCCTTTCCAGCTCTAAATCTATGACCCTAGGAACACTAATATTCAGCATAACAGCATCCTTTCTGTAGTTACAAGGGAGCCAATGTAACAGCCAGTGATGAGAATCTCATTGCTAATATCTACAGATATAACTGCCTCTTTATACCCAATGCTCCCCCATGTCAAGTAACTGGATAAACGTCCAGAAGCAGAGGTACGTGGGTACGAGTAGGGACCATACAAACTTTTCTGGCTGTTCTTAAATACTGTAAACCAACTACTCTGATGTTTTTAGGTCTGGGTCTGGGTCTGGGCCCCAGCCCTGGCCCTGGCCCCTTAGACTCACAGGCTAACAGGAACAAGATGAGATTTCCATATACACACAGGGTAACCAATAAACCCCAAGAACTTCAGCTTTCTATTTATTCTCACTCAAACCACAGGTAGTGCCTATAAATGAATAGCCTGAAAGTAACCCAGGATAGCTTATTCCTGAAACAAGTCTCTTAATTATGCAGGCTTAGGAGTCGCATTTTATTTTCAGTAACTGACCCACAAACCCTTGAGGGTGGGCCCCAGAGTGGTTTTACATAATTAGGGCATTGAACTGAAACTGACTGCCTTCTTGCTACCATATTTCCCATAAATTTTTCAATTTTTTAGCACAGATTTCCACAAAGCATCATAGAATCACAACATGATGGAGTTGGAAGTGATGGGGGAGATCATCTCATTCAATAACTTCATATTAGAAATGAGGAAAGTGAGGCCCAAAGAGATCAGAGCTGCAGGGGACATTAGAGATCATACCATACACTCCCAACTCCTCATTTTACAGAGAAGGAAACTATGGAGGCCCGGAGGGCTTAACTGACTTGTTCAAATTTCATGAGTTGCACAGCTGCGACATGAAGCCAGATCTTTTGACTTTCTCCATTATGTTGTTGTTCAGTCATTTTTCAGTTGTGTCCAACCCTCTATGACCCCATTTTGGGTTTTTTTGGCAAAGATACTAGAGCAGTTTGCCATTTCCTTCTCCAGCTCATTTTACAGATGAGGAAACTGAGGAATACAAGGTTAGAGTTAAGGCCCAGGGTCACAGAGCTAGTGTCTGAGGCCAGATTTGAACTCAGGAAGATGAGTATTCCTGACTCCAGGCCCGACACTCTATCCACTGCACAACCTAGCTGCCTTTTCCACATGCCTTTTTTTATTTAGGGAACCAGGGCTGTATTGGCAAATATGGACAGCATACTAAAAAAACAGAGACATCACCTTGATGACAAAAGTCCATACAGTCAAAGCTATGGTCTTTCCAGTAGCAATGCATGGCTGTGAGAGTTGTAGTATAAGGAAACCCAAGTGCCACAGAATCAATGCTTTCAAACTGTAGTGCTGGAAAAGACTTTGGAGAATTCCTTGGACAGCAAGGAGGTCAAATCAGTCAATACTTAAAGAAATTAATTCAGGCTATTCACTGGAAGGTCAAGTATTGAAGCTGAAACTTAAATATTTTGGCCACATAATGAGAAAATAAGACTCATTGGAAAAGACCCTGATTTGGGGGAAAATTGAAGGCAAAAAGGAGAAGGGAATGGGAGAGGATGAAATGTCCTAGAAACAACAAACATGAGCTTGGACAGATTTCAGGAGATAGTGGAGGACAGAAGAGCCTGGTGTGCTATGGTCCATGGGATCACAAAAAGCAGGACACAACTGAACAACAACAAACTATAACAGAGTAGATAGTAATCATAGCAACTCAAAGCCCTTAGAGATGAAGTGGAGACGTAGGAGATAATATGGCTCCAAATACAAATTATCATTGGTTAAATTAACTATGAAATTAATATAACAAAATAAGTCTAAGCTCCCAGCAAATCCTGCCCTCCTCCCTTTTTTTTCTAGCACAAAAGTGTTTGTTAAAAGCACAGGAAATTTTCTTCTCACTGAATAGTTAAATGTCTTGGGTGTGGAATGTTGCTAGGAGAACGAACTAATGTTTTTCTCACCAGGTCTCATGTCTGCAGAATTGGGACTTAGCTCTTCCTCTTCAAAGGGGATGTCCATTCCTACATCATCTGCTAGTGGTCTGTAAAAAGGAAAACAAAGAGTTAAAAGGAATGGCTATTTTGGTTGTTGTTTTGTTTTGAAAGGTACCCAAAGATTCTTAAAAATGTCTCTGTCTCTCTTCATGGAAGAGGGGGGTGAAAACAGAAATTTGAAACACTCTGAGGCTACTTCTAGGGAAGGTGTCACTTAGAGCAGGAGCAGAGTAGTTCCAGGGAGAACTGGGTCAGGTCAGGGAGAGACTTACTTGGTTCACTTTCAAATTGACCTCTTCCTTGTGACAAAGAAACACAATCAGGCAATGAGTTATCCTTTGTTAGGGAAAGGAAGGGTTCCATTTGGAAGCTTCCAAATTTAATTAATTTTCTTGCCAATTAGTTTCTAAGCTGCCAAAGGAGTAAAAGTGCCACCAAAATGTAACCGTAATAAATTTTAAAGTTATACAACCTTTAAAAATCATATCTTAAATTTATATCCCTTCTAAGTTTCATGGCCGTGTATCCCAGTTGCTCCACCCATGGTACTACTCTGGTCATTTTTCCTAGCCTAAAATTAAACCTAATTTAGGTTTTCAAATTCAAGGAAGGTGTTTTCCCAGTTATAAGAGATAAGATCTATGGCTATTTGCTACACTCTACACAAACAGCCAGTCATCCCCTTTAACCTAAGTTGGATAAAAATTTTAAAATTTATCACAGAAAATCTCAGAAGCAGGAAAGATTGTGGATATTACTTTTGCTTTCATTTTTCATGTAACCTGGGCACATTGAAGATACTATCTAGACATGTCCTCACAGGACATATCTTTGGACTTTCCCTTCAGTGTGTAGCATAATGGACCCTTGGAAATATATATGTATATAAGCAATATATGTCTGTGAGTATATACATGTTCATGTATACATACATACACACATAAAATATTTGGCACTTGGTACTATACATATACACATACACATAATTTATGTGTATCCATATACACACATATATAAACAGTTTTCAAGAGATTTATCAATAAGAATTGACATGAAAATACGTTCCAAATCAATTACAGTAAAAAAAATACAAATTTTTAAAAATTTAGGTTTTAAGTTATTTCTTGCTGATTGAGAAAGATCACAAAAGATGGCAACAATCGATTTTAGAGGAGCTTTGGAAAGATAGACACGTTGAAGAAACAACAATGGGATTGTGAAGATGTGGTTCAATTATTTTGTATTTCAATTTGAATTATACAAAAAAAAGTCATTAAACTCTCTACGTACTCTGCAATTTGACTACTGGGCATATAGCCCAAAGGAGACAAAGGCAGAAACAGAGGTCAAATCTATACCAAAATACTCATTATGTCAGCAAAGAATTGGAAACAAAGTAGATGTCTATTAACTGAGGAACACTTGAGAAAATTATGCTATGTGAATGTAATCAAACATTATTTTACAATAAGAAAACACGAATATGAATAATATAGAGAAACAAGGGAAGATGTGCATGAATGAATGCAGAGTGAAATATATAGAACCCCAATAACAAGATACACAACTACAACACTATTGAAAGGAGGTTGAATTTTGAGTACATAACGGAAGGAAAGAAACAAGAATTTATTAAGCATCCACTATGTGTCAGGCACCACACTAAGTGCTTTACAAATATTATGTCATTTGATCCTCACAGCCTCCCTGGATGGTAGGTGCTATTAGAACCCCCATTTTACATTTGAGGAAGCTGAGACAGAGATTAAATCACTTGCCCAGGATCACACAGCTAGTAAGCGTCTTCTACCAGACGTGAACCCAGGTCTTCCTGATTCCAGTCCCAGCACTCGGGGGTGGGGGGAACCCCAAACCAACCCAAAACAGGGGAGGCCCTGAAGAAAAGAGAGTGAAGCCTGCCTCCCCATTCATGGTGAGAGGGGAATCAATAGATTTTTAGTACTATGTACACCGCTGGACAAGATTTCTGTATCAGATATTTTTGCCTAATTGTTTTTCTTTGTCACAAAGAAAAATTCAATCTGGAAGGGATAGGTAAGAAATTACTATGATTCAAAAAAAAGCTATTAATAAAAACTTTTTTTATTTTAAGAAAAAAAAACTTTTGTTGGAAGCTGAGCATTCAGAGATGACTGTAACATCAAGGGCTCATGTTTATATAGCACTTTAGGGTTTACAAAGCACTTTCCCTCCCAATGACTCCAGTATAAAGCTTATCATCCCCATTTTACAGCTAAAGAAATTGAGATTTAGGTTAAGTAACTTTCTCTGGGTTACACAGCTAATAAGTGTTGTTATCAGTGCTCAAATTCAGGTGCTCTGACACCAAGACAAGTGCTCTTTCTAATATACTACATGGACAGTCGAGAAAAAGAGACAGACAGACCCTCTGATCTCAAGGGCCTAGTACAGGAATGAGACATGGACAAAAATAATTATGGTATGTTTGTTAGAATAAGATCAATACATATATAGGAGAGGACAAACAAGAATAAGTGATTCAGGAAGAGACTGATCCCCTATAGTTGTAAGGATCAGGAAAGATCATTAATAAAAGGATGAAAGAAACCATCAGTGTTAGTTTTCCATCTGAAGCTTGTGGGATATTTTTAATTTAAAGCAGTATTTATTCAGAACACCATTTGACTTCATAATATCCCATAATTTGGGACAGATCCCCATATGTAAAGTATTCCCTTTGCTATAGTCTTATCCCTGTGTCTACATTGGGTTTAAGCAACTCTGGGGTCTGGATGTTGTTTCATCATTTCAGTTGCGTCTGACTCTTTGTAACCCCATTTGGGTTTTCTTGGTAAAGATACTAAAGTGGTTTATTATTTCCTTCTCCAGCTTATTTTACAGCTAAGGAAACTGAGGCAAACAGGTTTAAGTGAATTGCCCAGGGTCACACAGCTAATAACTGTCTAAGGCCAGATTTGAACTCAGGAAGATGAGTCTTCCTAACTCTAGGCCCGATACTCTAGCCACTGTGCCACCTAGCTGCCCCCCTGGGACCTGGAGCACCTGAGAATTTGAGAGGCCCTTGGGCTATGAGCAATGAATAATAAAGAATTTAGTTTGTAAGTTTCACTGCTGGGGAGACTGTGTTTTAACTGAATTTTGTACCTCCTCCAGAATCAACAGATGTCTGTTTAATGAGCAATGTAAAATCTCAGTCAGAATGATAAACCATTAACCAAACATAACACAGGTGCTAACTTGAATTATATTTAGGGTGATTCTTTAAAGTATCAATTAACCAATCAAAAAGCATTTCTTCTATATACTACATGTCAAGTCTCACATGTATTCTGCCCTCAAGGAGTTTCCATTCTTTTGGATTATAATGCCTCCATTTCAGAAAAAGGAGACCTTCTTAGGGCCCAAGATTCAACTAAGGATCACAGAATCTAAATACTCTCTTGGTCTGTTTATACCTGCCAACCATTTGGAGATAGCTTACAATAAGTAACTAGTTTTTTTGGGTTCAACTCAAATTCTATTAGCTAAATACATTCACTATAAAGAAAATGTTTTCAAGTCCTAACTAATGGCCCATGACAATTGTGCTTTATTAATTCTCTCTCTCTCTCTCTCTCTCTCTCTCTCTCTCTCTCTCACACACACACACACACACACACACTCAAACACACACATACATCCTACTCTAATGCCATTCAATATAACAAATCTTAGTATATGTAAGACACTATTCTAGTGGCTCCAGAGATAGGACAAAACAAAACAAAACAGAACAAAAAAAACAAACAAACAAAAAACAGAACAAAACAGTCCTTGCCCCTCAAGGAGTTTACCTTTTATTGAGTAATACAACATATAAGCAAACAAACATACAGCTAAATAATAATTTGATTAAAAAGCAGAAAATACTAACAATTTGAGGGAATCTTCCATAGGAATAATAAATAAATGAAAAATAAATTAAAAAGCATTTATTAACTGCTTGTTGTGTGCAGATATAATGGCAAACACTGAGGATGCAAAGAGAGGCAAAAACAAATAACCAAAAATAATTTATTATAAATGTTTTCCCTTTTTCTCTTTGTATAATACTTAATTTCTCTAATAAAGATTGTATCAACTATAGAAGGCATTATAAGGATATTTATAAAAATAAAATTAAAATTAAATGCAAATACAAAAAAGCAAACAAGCAAAAAAATAATGATACTTGTAATAATTCTAATATAAAGGAAAAGTGGTCTAAAGCAGGGATTCTTAACTATTTTCATGTCGTGAACCCCTTTGGCATTCTCTTGAAGCTTATGGAGCCCTTCTCAGAATAATGCTTTTAAATATATTAAAATTAAATAAACAACATAGAATTATGTATTGTTATTAAATTAAATTACTAATTAAATAAATTAGCTCTCCCTCTTCAAAGGGGATGGCCATTAAATAAAATTAAATTAGTTCTCCCTCTTCAAAGGGAATATCCAAATTAAATAAAATACATAGAACTGCAAAGGAAAGACATTATATTCAAATACAGTTATAAAAATATTAAGCAAGTTCATGGACTCCAGGTTAAGAGCCCCTGAAAAGGGGTTGTTGTATGTAGGATTAAATTTAGATTCTTCTGTAGTTTTCATCATTATGCTTCATTAATTACAGATGCATATGCTATTATAGCCTGACAAAAAGTTTAATGACACCACTTGGATATTGGTCCATATACATGAGAAATTCAGTGCTGAACACAATCTAGAGGGGCTGACAAACTTGTATGCTGAAGGGGAATTGATGGGAAAAAGACTTTGTTTTTCAGGTCCCTAAGGAAAAAAATAAAATAAAATAAAGCATTCTACAAGGAGATGCAGGAAAATCAATGGCTGGTTTGAAAAAAGGGAAAGTATGGAGCATGAGGTAAAGGAGTGGAGGGAAAGAAGAAGGGTAAAAGAGGTAAATTAGTAGGTAGTTGAAATAGGAAAGACAGGAGAAAGGATTAAGACCATGCTGGGTATAGGGAGAGAAATTAGGACCAGGGCTAGACGAGGGGTTGACT